ATGAATTAAAAAAAGTTGATTTACAACAATAGTAATGATTGATCCCAATATAAATGATGAATGTGCAGATAATTAAAGCTGTATTTCCTTCTAATTGCACTGAATACCTTCATCAATCAGCTCTGATTTGAACCCAAACTGATTCGTTTTGTTTGATGTTTCTGTGTATACAACGTCAATTAGCAATGATTAACGAACAAAAGAATTCCTCCCTTTTAAGATAATATAAAGGGATAATTTACTCCGAACAAAATAACTTCCTCGTCGCTCGTTATTGAATTTGTTTAATGTTTCTTGTTTTATACTTGCATTGTTGACAAACGGTTGGCGTATGGATTGTTTGCGACCAGTTCGCTGCAAGGCCGTAACTGCGTAACTAACAATTAGCGACATTGCAATTTGGTGCGGTGGACGTGAGCAGAGACGATAATTCACCGACTAGATGCTGGCACAATGCGGTAACACTAATTAATGCACTAGCGCCTAATTGAAATTTGCACTTTTCGGCTGCGGTTTTAATGTAATGCAATATGCGAACTTAAGTTTACACAAAACCGCATCAACATTTGTACAAGGAAATAAAATTTTGATAAATTGTGATGATTGCTTTTGTATGCAACTTAATTTGCATGGATTTTAATTTAAAGTTGCTTAACTAATTATTTTCTTGATTTCTTGACTTATTATGTACTAAAATAGCAACTAAAATAATCAGTTTTAATTTAGAGAAGATAAAAATGCTAAAAATGCACTGCAGCGCCATCTCGGTATGAATTATGTAACTATAACTATGATTAAACCTCCATATCAACTTTAACCATTATTTTACACATTTTGAGCTAAATTGTTGCAACAAAAAGTATCCTATTTTATTTTTGCCAGTCATAAATATCTCTATAACATAATTTATCAAAATTCGTTGAGTAGTTTTTGCATAAAAGCGTAACAAACAAACAAATTCATAAAAATCTACATTTTTAGTACTATTCTCTTATAATTATGTGAATTAAATTAAATTATTGTTTAATTTTTGACGAAATTCAGTGATGACGCCTTACAAAGCTCGTTAATAGACTAATTTTACAATAAATAATAAAAAATAATAAATATTTATATTCACAGCTTTATTTTTTATTTGCGTCTTGAAACTTGTTCCTCCACCGTAAACATTGACTACCTAAGTATTGAATATTCGATTTCTCGTTACCGTCAGACACGTGGCTCGGTCTCGCAGTGACGCCATCGCTCAAGGGGGTGGTGTGTGTTTGGGGTTGCTTTCAAATTGTTAGCGACAGCCCGACTGGGAGTTTAGAGCTCAAAGTTGCTCAGCGCTTATCAAAATTGAATTTTATTCCGGTACTCTCGAAAACTTCAAACTGATCGACCGAAGTAACCGGGGCAAATATTTCTGGCGGAACGAATCGCGCGTGGAGAATTTGTTTACAATGTCAAGTGGTAAACGAGAAAGGTGCAGGTAATTTAAAACCTCTCCAGAAGTAACGAGAAATTTCTGAGGGGCATAAAATTAATTTTGTATTAAATATATTAAATTTTGGAAAATTTATGTTTTGCGGATATTGTAATGTGGAATATTTGCTTATTATTAAATAATTTAATGTTAAGGCATTCAAATAATACGTGGTTATTGAATTTTGCCGTAATCTGAGTTATTTTTCTTTAGTTTAACTTTGTATGTGCCAATTCTATCAATAAAATTCGTATTTTTCTTTTATAAGAATGAGAATTGCAAATAATACACTTTAGTCAACTTTCTTTTTTCTTATTTTGCATTCTTTCAGTAATAAATATTTATATTTTAATGATTATTCTTTTATTCTAAACAAAGACAATTCTAATAAATCATAGATGATCAATATGTGTCCAGCCGTTCTTGAGTTATAAATGCTGTAACTAACGCAATTTGCTTTTATTCCTAGACTTTTAATAACTACATTTTAATGCTTAAGTGTTCCAATAATACTTGACTCTTCAATATTGAACTAATTTTAAGTCACTTTTTTGTTTTTTATCTTCTCTTTATATATATTTTAAAATAAACAAATTGCAATTAATTGAGGTTAACTTAATCCCATTTATATGTAAAACCGCTAAGTTTTTTTTTTCTGTCTAAACCACAAAAAGGCAAAAAATACAAAAAAAAGAAAAGAAATAAAAAGAGAAGATGTAAAATTTGAAAGCATTAATTAAAAGACTAGACAAATGCGGAGCGAAAATAAAAAAGAAACAAGAAAAGCGTTTCAACTAAAAGGCTTTTCCTGCGGATGGATTTTTCTCCGAATACACTTCAGTAAATACCGAGAATTTACATAATTATTGCACATTCAAGCAGAAAATTTCAAAAAACGACAAACCACAACAGCACGACAAGAAACAGTAATTAAAAGAAATTAATGTTTGATTCCGTTTCAGCACACATTTTTCCAACTTTTTTTTTTTTTAAATTTCATTCAACGCAGTAAACCATCTCATTAATAATGCTCATAAAAATTGATTTATAATTTTTGAAGTTTAGTGCAATAATAATTCATGTTTTCCAATACTTTTACTTTATGACCTCGCCCATAAAATCCTTTTATAGTTAGCTTTGAATAAAAATATTATCAAACAAATACGAATGCTAGTTTTCTGCTTTAGGAAATTTTCCTCTTAAAGTTATTCAGTGCCCTATAGTATACATTTTTATATTTTATCCATTCAATATTTTACGCATGTTTGCACCAGCAGCCAGTCATAAATCCGGATTTGTCAGGCTACAGTCGATTTCGCACACATCGCACACATCGCACACCCTCAAAAAAAGGCGTTATATGCGATTTTCCTACTCGCACATTCTACTGATGACATAACCAGTGCTTTTTCATGCATAACAATTGTTAAACATATAAAACTCTCATAACGCATAAAACCTCGCCGCTAAAAAAATAAACGCAGGAATTTTTAAAAAATCAAACAAAGAACAATAAATTTTTTTGAAAATAATTTTTTTCTTGCTTGGAATATGAATTCACGATTTTCACCTTTGATTATCCAAAGCAATATAATTCCACCTGGGGTGCAATTAATTTTAAAACTTTATTATAGCACTGAGTGAATAATCAAGCCAACCGAGCCGACACAAGTTCATTCTTAGTGGAGGCGCCGCGCAGTAAATCGCGCAACAAAGATTACATAGAGCGCATAACATAAAGGCGAGCGTATGAAAGCGTATGAAAACGTTGATTGCGGAAGGTGGATGAAGAATGAAGGAAGCAGGTTATGTTCGTACAGCGTAACGCACTTTGCCAATTCTGCATATACTCGTTTCACCTCTATTGCTTCCGGTTTTATGTTGTAAAAAGCTTTACGCACAATATTTCAGCTAATTTTAACCTACTTTTTTTTTTTCACTAAAAAAAGAACATAAACCTTAAAAATTCAACGAAAACCACAAATGTTAGATGTATGTTTGGTTGCCTAACGTTTAAAACTTTACAAATATAATAATTACCCGTATAAAACAATAAATCTCTGTTTTCCACGATGTAAACTTTAGTTTTTGTGGTTATACCCGGAAAGTTTCAGTTGCTGTATGTCTGGTTGCCTAGTAAAACCTTTTCACATTAACACACATCAAAGTTGGAACCTAAAACATAAAGTATTCTGTTTATGAAATTCCTGAAATCAGCCTTCAATCTGTCTTAGCATACATATAGTTTCCTGTTCGTTTTGTCGCGGCTCATGTAAGCTCTGCGCATAGTACGAGTAAGTTGACTCGGCGACAATTTCAAGAATACGAGCGGTAACGTCGTGCAAACGTGCCTCCAACCCTTCTGGACCATTTCCTTGCGTCGTGAATTCGCTGACGCTTCTGACGTAAGCTCCCCAAACGCGACCAATGCCATTACCACCCACACGCCCGACATGCTTTCGAGAATCTTCTCGAATCCTCATTCACAATTCACGTTTTGAGGTCGGGCCTCGGTCGACGGGTCACACGAATTGCAGTTGCGTCGGAATATTCCTCGCCGAAAGATACACAGATAGTCTTACGACGTTGTACACATTCTTACCATCGCGAGTGTGAAACGTGAAGCGGAAAACTAATGCACTTGAGACTTATAAAATGATATAAATGTTTATTTGATTATACCACAACTTGCACCGCCGCCGCATGGTGAAATGTGCACGGTTTATCATCGTAAACATTATAAATCGACTCATTAAAATGCTTTTAGGTTATAAAATATGTAATGCAATATCTGCACGGTATGCAACACAGTGTGCATCAAATGTAACCAAAACATATGGCCATCTTGCGGTGTTATTAACAACTTTAACAAATTTTGATATTTTCTTTGTTTTTAATTAAAAACAAGACAATGTTGAATAATTCCGATTGTCTATTGTCAATTTCTTCATCCTAATTAGATCGCCATCCTGCTGCTGGCTCCCGCATTGTCTGTTCTTTTGTGCTTGTGTAAATAAACGGTCTACACGCCGCACATGATGGCAATTAATATTAATTGGGGTAGATCCACCTTTGAGAGACTCAAACCTTTTCTGACTTGTCTGGCTTGCTCGGATTTACCTTTATTGAGCTTTGTTGGAGTAGTTTGAGAGCTTTGAGTTGGTCGGGCAGATAATTTCAACAACAGATAGCTAACGAGACTCTAATTGCCTGCAGGGTGGAATTATTTATGCAAGACGTCATGAATTATTATAAAATGTAATTTATTCTTTTAAAATAAAGAAATTAAACTTTAAGAAGTCCGGTGGCAATGTGGCAACATGGATGCAACCTATTATGATGATAGACTAGTTGCATACATTAAAATTATGCAAATGAATGGAAATAATGGCATAACATGCAGTTTTTACTTGAATAGAAGTAAAATAGTGGAAAATTATGCCAAGAAACTTTTTACTGTGACATTCGCCATTTTATAAACTTGAAATTACTTGCCAGGACAAAATTCATCTGATATTTATTATTGTTTCAGGAGTTTCGCATACTAAACTTCTTGAAGACACTGGTGAAGAAGTGATCGTCATAAACGAGGTGAGTAACAATAATATTGTTGTGTTTTTTGAGAAAATAATATAAAAGAAAAGAATATATATTACAATATAAATCAAACATAATATATTTTTTCTCTATGTCCTAATATCAATGCAGTGATAGGCAACCAAATATACCTTAAAACAACAACACAACCAAATATCTTATTTAACTTAGTTCTTTTGTAAAGTATTTTTTTACTGCTCCACTCAAACAATAAAAACCCTCCGTTAAAGTCAACGAAACCGAAAACACGACGTGCATTTTTTTGCTCAACGCGCTCTCAAAGCTTTCACAATTTTCGCCTTTTTATCTACCTGTGTCTTTTATTTATTTTTATTTTTTCGCGCTACGCTAGAATGTCGTTTGGCCACACAGCTGCGGGAGGAAGGGATCGATACCTCGACCCGAACCACGACACGTGTGTACACGTGTGTACAGGGGTACGGAAAGCGAAAACACCTAATAGCCGCGAGTAGATAAAGCAGAGAGTTGGAAATTGTTTGTGAGGCAAGCAAAAAATCACAATACACTCAGGACACATACAATGCACGGCGATAAGGTTATGTTAGGTTATGTTTTAGAAAATGGCACGGTTGAGGAATGAAAATGGAAACTCAAACAAACGCGGAACAAAATACAGTTTAGGGAAATTCGACTAAAAGTTTGCGAAAACCACAAAAAATTCATTTTACTAAAATATATATAACGAGAGTTAATTTTGAACATACTCGTATTCAAATGAAATGATCATAAACTAAAAAACTCAATAATTCTAAGCACTTATTCTTTTTATTGTTGTTTTGTTATTTTTATTTATGAATAATCTTTAAAAATGTATGAGATGTCTGTGAGTAACTTTGTAGACGTGCCTGTACATATACTTGTCAATATGTATGGTGTGCTGCCTAAGTCTAATATTTAATGCATGAAAATGGAAGCTTGCGATAAGCGACCATCGCGCAGTAAAATGTAAAGCAAAAGCACAACGACGAAACTGAATATTTCAGCAGTTTTTGTGCGGCGCATGCTGTAGTGACCTCAAAAAGCTTAAAATGAGAATGTTGAACATCTAAAACAAAATTTATCATTAATTAACTATTATTTTAGTCACAATTAGGTAAAAATTAAATTTAACATATTGGATTATTTAAACACAACGTTAAAACTGCTTAAAATTGACGTAAAAGTTTAAAAAATGCAAAAAGAAGTCTGAAAATTTACTGTTTTAAGACCTATAACCTCTATTTCATAAAGAAATCTACTTTACCGACGTTTACTCTAAAAATATAGTGCTTTCAACACAAAAAACTGAGTTTTTACCCCAAAGCTCTATTAAAGCTCTTAAATCTTTTAAAAAAACACTTGATGCTCTTCAAGCTTGTTGCTTTCAACCCCAATATACATCCACTGAAGTGGTTTCCAGGCTTCGCACACCGCCTGTTGCCCTTTTGGCATCCATCCAAACCGAACCGCGCCGCCATTGAACTCGCTGACACACTTTTTGTGCTTCGATGTGTTCGCAGAGATACGACTGGCCTGTTGCGCGACCTGTTGACGGCGTCGAGGTGCTAACGATCGAGCTCTTCGTCCGCAGTCGACTCTTCGCCGACAAACTTCTGGGCACCTACGGTGTGGTCCTCCAGCGCGTTGTACGAGATTCCCGTGTTTCTGTCAACGACTGCCTGGTGGACGACAGCAACCGACCTATTCCGGTGAGTAAGCACTCAAAATTAAAATTAGAATTAAAATTGAAATGTTATGATGACGTCAGAGCGTCGCCATTTTATGGCCCATTCGCTCGGATGGGCAATTTATGTGTTTGTTTGTTCGGCGCGACCCGTTTTATTTGATTGCCGTTTAATTGGACAATCTAATAAGCGCGCACAGAGGGAATATAAAGGAGGGAGAGAGGGCGCTGCTGATGCGACATCGACAGTTGCGACAAGCGGTGCTGGAAAAAGTTTTCCAATTAAGCTGGTGCGCTACGCGGCGATCGATTGTTAAAATTTCCAAAGCAAAATATATTCGGATAGACAAGTATTGTATTATTAGTTAAACATTAAAGCAAGGGGAAATTAATTGTCAAATGGTAAATATTTGGGATATAACCTCAATTTTACTCATTTTCAAACATTAAAACAAAGTAGAATTAACTGTCAAATGGTAAATAGTTGGACATAACCTAAGTATTAGTGTGTTACCATCAAAATACAACATATGTTTGTTCAAACAAATATTCTACTATTAGTAAAACATTAAAAGAGGTTCAAATTAGTTGTCAAATGTCAAATAAATGGATATAACATTAATTTTACTATTTTCTCATTTAAATTCCAAGCAAACTTGTTTAGAAATGTATTGTCCTGGTAGTAAAACATCAAAACAAGTTAAAATAAACTGTCAAATGTCAAATAATGCAACATAACCACAATTTTCCTCTATTTTTTCATCTAAATTTAAAACATACATGTTTAGAATTGTATTGTAATAATAGTAAAGCATAGAAACAGGTTTAAATTAACTGTCAAACGTCAGAAAAGTCGTCATAACCTAATTTTAATCAGTTTTCACTGTTTTCACTGTTTTTAATAAAAAACTTTTCATGGGTTCATACATTGATTTAGTGTATAGAAAAACCTCACAAAGATCATTTAGCAAGTTTTCAACCTGTCAGAAGCAACAAGCCCACCGTGACTAGGAATAAATTCGGTGCGCGCTCACGATGAAGGATATAAAGTCCAATTAAGTTTGCCCCGCCGACGTTTTCGTTGTGGCCGGTTCGACGTTGCGTGGTTGAAATTGACTTTCATCACGTTTCATAAAACGTCGATTTTATATTCCAGTCCACGCCAACTTTTCATCCCTTTCAGCATCCAGCCAATGTGTTTTCATGCTCCACGCAAGCACTACCTTCCCAATAATATATACAGTGTGCTTTAACACAGAAAAAAATTATTAAATATAATTTTTTCCTTTTATTTTTATATTTGCAACACTTTGTATGTTTTGTGATTACGTTCAAAGCCGTAAAGCATTTACCATTTACCATTTACCATTTAGTTCGTCTCCGGAACGCTCGCAGCAATTTCAAGTTTGTGGGCCAGTTATACCAATATTAGTGAAACGTGAAACGATCCGGAATTTCCGGGCTTTGTTGGGCACGTGAAATAAAGCCGTATGTCGAAGATATTCTTATTTATTCCGTGTGCATTTACGTGCGTCGATTCGTGTACAAATACAAACAGTGCGAGTCATAATGGGAATTCCGGTATGCGACCGATGCAATAAAATGTGCATATAGCATCGCCTCGGATAAACCGATAACGCGATAACTCAGGATTGCATGCGGAAATAGCATGGAATGCAATATTTCATTCGGTGGTTGCGGATATACCTAATGCAGCGGCAGCTGCAACTGCAGTCAAATATATAGGGAAATTCTTTGTTTTATTGTTTGAGGTTAAGATTATATGACGATTGCATTGAAAATGCATTATGTAACCAAATTTATAGGAAACAAGGTGTAGTGTGCTTAAATTATTACAAAATAAAGCAAAATGAAAAGTTTTAGGTTGTACTTAACCTAAATAGAGAAATATTAATAGTATTTCCCAAAATATTTAACAGCTCATTGAAATTTTAACATGGGTACTGTCCTAATTCCACCTATAATTTGCAAATGTATAACTAAAACTGCATCTGGTTATTTAATACTTTAACGCCATCTAATATTCCAGCATTGAAGTTACACCTGGTACTATAAGTGTAAATCACACTGTATTACCGTAGCTATGTCAAATATCAAATCCGTACATATATTCTTAGTGGTCCTTATGGTCCCGGAATCGTTATAGCTACTTTTATTTAATAAAAAACATTTTTAAATAAAATAAAGAAATTGTTTAGCCAATAATACCTCTGTATCGTTTAATATGACCTACGTCTTAACGCTATCTAGCATTCCATCTAAAATTTAAAACTCTTATTGCATGTAGTAGTTTTTCACATAGATAATCCTAGCAAGCAGTGAAATACTACATTCTTTCGTATCAACTGTTTCGAACTATGTATGTACAATGATTTCTAATATTTATTTGATGGATTCCACGCGAGCGGAGGCAGGTTAAAGCCATTTAAAATAAAAACGATTTAAACAAAATTGTTAAATAAAGGCCTCGCATTGGCATTTTCTACGATCTTGTACTGCTCCGTAGGCAAATGCGCAGACGCAAGCTCCGTCTCGTAAATAATGCTTGTAGATAATGGATATTACGCACGGCCTGGTTGTCCGTACATAAAATACTACTTTTGTGTGTCAAAAACGTGGAAAAACTAGCTATAAGTAAAAAATAGAAAAATGCATTTTTATCAACTAAAACAATAATTTCAACAAAATCAATTTATAAAATAAAATAATATACATTTCTATATATTTTAAGATTATTTTTCCAACTCTATGTTAACTTTTACAACATTACAACCATTTCCCGCAGAAATATTTGCATTCTGAAAATTTATGCCGTTTTTATTGAATATTTAACACCTTATAAAATCGTGAATAACAGTTACGCTTTTTTATTGACTACATAACCGTCCTACTCGTGCAGCCAATGATGTTATTAATCTCTTTATCCAGTAAAAATATACTGATCTTGATAATTCCTACATCCCTACTCGAATAAAAAGAAATTCGTATTTATTCGTATCTATAAAAAAAAGGTTCTTTGATGTATTCACGAAATACAGATAATGATGAAATTACTCTCGCAGTCACCAAATTACGCATCTCATTTGTGGCGTCCCCGCCGACGTCGTATTCAAATTCATCCTCACGTCTAGCACATCAAGTCATTTCATCCCCTCATCGCCTTCCAGACGCTTCTTTCAACCCTTAATCTTGTGAGTCATGTCACGTTTCGGTTCTTTCATCGAAAACATTTAAGCTTTCATTTCTTTTTTACGTCTGATCTTATCCTTATATTCTTTTTCATTTATGTACGTATTTTTATTTATTTTTTATTTATTTTGTTATCAATGAGTTAAAAGATTAAAAATAAAAAGTTTTTCTTTGATTAAATTTAATATTCAAATTGTTTTATTTTTTATTTAATTTTTGTGCTTTTGGATGTTTTATATTTGTGTAGCAATTGTTTGTGGCTACAATAAAGAATCGTTAATTTCAATTTTCCGTCGGTTGTGCTTTTTCGCTTCCGGTCGTTTTCATTTTCGTTCGCGTTTCGTTGTGGCGGTTGCAAATGGCCGACGGTTTGTTAGTGACTTCCGGTCGTTTTGTTTCGCTCCTGTTTCGCCATCGCTTATTGCTGTGTTTGTGTGTGCTGGGTACTTTTAGAAGGCTGTTTCAAGTTCTTAGATTAAGTGCGTAAGCGCGCCTCGAGTCGTGTGACGAATGGGCGCATGGCGAATGTCAAATGGCGTCGCGTGACAGAATTAATTAAATTCTAAGCTTTTCACACATTGGAAACTTGAATAATATGGAATACAATGAATTTACTATTGGTAATAATATTAATGGATAAATATTTTGTGCAATTTTTTTAATAATTTTAGGAATTTTATGAAATTTAAGCAGAAAAGTAACTTTTCAACTAAAATTTTAAACTTTTTCGTAGTAATCATGAAAAATTACAGTTTACGCTAACATTTCTACTCTAATATTAATTAAATTGACGTTTTTACTTAAAATTTTGATGGATTTTTCTTATTTTAGTCTAAAATTGTAAAATTTCAAGAAATTTAAGATTATAACCTAAAAATTCAAATAAAAATTAATGTAATCATGCAAAATAACTGCAATAAAAACAATCTAAAATTAAATTTTTACAAATTAATGAAGATCTTGTAAATTTCAAAGATTTTTCATAATTTTACAAATTTTAAGAAAATTAACGAAAAAAACTGATTTTTTTCTATCAAAACCATAAAATTCCAACTTAAATCATTTTAATCTCCATTTTCCTCCTGTGTTTACTCGGCAACTTGTAACTACCAATTATCTTTATCATTAATTTCCAGGTTAACATCCACTTCGACTTGTTATACACCGCCCCGGATGAAGCCAGCCTGTCCTTCGCCGGCAGCCAAGCATACGGCATGTTCGAGGACGATCAACAAATGCTCATCAACATTGAACAGAACATCGCCAACCTGGAGCGCACGCTAGCTGATCAAAGTCAACGTCAGCAGGAGACCGCGTCCGGAAGCCATGACCGGAAGCGACGCAGCACGTCGGAGAAAGCCGCAACTCTCGAGAAACCAGAGCGGAAAAAAAGCAGCACGTTTAAAACGGTGCGGAATTTAATTAGATTAGGTAAGTGCCATGCATGTTCACAAATTTAATTTAAAATACTGCCAACAGTACGCTATTATACCACTATTGTTTCCAATAGTCACGATACCCCAATATATTCGCTATTTATTTTGGGGTAATTTTCGGGAATGAATATTGATGGTATTGATTTAGCATATTTTGCTATTCGCATGCAAATTTATTCAAATTCGGTGCGAAAGCAAGCGTGTAAAGTTATGCAAACAATTCGGAATGAAACCAGCCCTGATTAGCTTCAAAGGAAATTTTGGAAATGGAAACTATAATGTCTTTTAATTAGTGTTAGGAATGTGTATACGTGGTGGAAGCAGAGAAAGACAAGTAGGCGAAGATGTCGAAATTCAATTAAGCAAATTACTCGCGCAAACAATATTTAGTTAACAATACAAAGAAATTTTGTGTTAGAATGTTGAAGAATAACTCAGTTGTGTAAACTCACAGGAAGTTGATTAAAATACCGTTGAATCTTAAATTTTAATTAATTTCATCGCAATTGAAATATAGCAAATAATAGGTACTTTAAAATTAAGTACTTTAGTCACGGCCTTGACCATTCGTGTTTAAAGTACCACTTTTTGAATCTAAAAACCGTGGAAAATGGCTTTTTAAAGTTGGACATAGAAAAAAGTAATTATATCTAGAAAACTATAAAAGATAGAAAAACCATTTTGGTTTCTATCTATAGATATGAGTTAATACTATCAGATTAACTTAAAATTATTTTAAAAAATTAGTCACAATTAGCTGCAATTTAACAAAATAGAAAAAAAATTAATAGATTTATTTCATAAAAGTTTCTTTAGGTTTAAATCAATATAACTGATTTATTTTTTATATTAAGACCTCGGTATTTTGCAAAATATTCAAGTATTCACTAATAATCTAATTTTCGGCAAAAAATGTTATATTTTTTAAATTATTTTTGCAAAAACGCAGAAATGACAATTTTTTGCAATTTTTGTATTTCAAACTTTACAAAAACGCAAATTTTATTTTAATACCATCTTTTATATAACTTTTCCACGCAAAATAAATGCACGTTTATATAAATTACGCATAAGCAACTTTTCTGTAAATGTTTACATTTTTATATTTAGTTATATTCTTTATATAAAAACTTCAGCATTAAATTAAATAGAATTCATTTTACTTTATTATGATTAACAGCGATAAACACATATAATATTCCTGAATTAATGTTTATATAGAAGATTTTTTGTAAATATAGCTGATTATATAACACTTTAAGAAAATCAAGGCCTTTGAAATTTACAAACGAGCGTAAATTTTATTTGCATCGTAAATTGCACATTTTTATGCAAATTCTCCACAAGTTGTCAGATTGCACACTAGAAATATGAAAAATATGTAAAATCATGATTCGTGAAACGTCATATAACCACCCCTCATAATTTCTAAAGTTTTCCCAGCGCGCACTCTAATATTTCAAAAATATAAACTAAAATATTTCATCCCGGATTTTATTGTCACGAAAATAAAATTCATATTTTCTCACAACTTGCATATCATAACATCATAACACCATAGATATTTATTAACAAACAATAATTAATATTTGCAATTAAAATTTGCAGAATCTGTTTGGTGTGGATTTTAGAGCGGGTGCATTTTAAGCGGGTGTCTTACCCTACTAAATATTTATCTTATAGAAAGTTTTATGCTCGCATGTTGCGTATGTTGCGAGTATGCAGAAGGAAAAAGCAACAAGCAGTCCTTTGTTTACGCAGCACGCAGGAAAGGTCCTCGATGCTTTACGCCTGCCCCAATTGGGAGGGGTGGCACGTATACTACGTGCGCAACGCGCGTGACCCAAATACACCTAAATAATTAACAACCTGCATGTTTCCATACTGTTATGCTGTTAGTCTACAAACCACTCCAACAAGTTTATTGTTATCGATAGTCCTATGAAAATATATACATTTTCGGGCACTTGAAATTAATTTTTCGTGTGGCGGTTGATTATTTGGGGAGGAAGAAAAGTTTTTAATTTAATTTGATATTTGACATCTTTTGTTTTATATGTTTTATCAAAAGATGAAAAACAATTTATTCGAGTCGAAAAAAGTAAAAAATTGAAATAAAAAAGAAAGAAGAAAATGTTATGATTTTAATGTTTAATTTTATAGGTTATGTTAGGTTATGTGTGGTTAGGATGTTATAACCTTCAACATAATTTATTTACACAGTGAAAAGTAAAAAAATTGGAAAAAGATAATATTTCATTGAATTAATAAAAGAAAAGCTAAAAAGGTACTTAACTAGCGACATCTATGATATTTATATTTAATTTCAGATGTTATAACCTCAAAATGATTTATTCAGCTCATAAAGCGTAAAAACCATAAAATTAATGTTTTTCTGAATAAAACAAACCAAAAATTAATTAAACCAGCGCCATCTATAAATTTTATAAATAATTTTATAGGTTATGTTAGATGAAGTGGTTATAACCTTTAAAAACGTTATACGTTTATAACTTACTTTCAAAGGCAAACAACGCCCCCCAAAAGATACCAACACAACCGACGACGAAGAAAATGCTCTCCTGCCCGAATCCGGCAGAAATTCACGACAATCCGAATGCGAATCAACTCCAATGTCTCGCGCCTGCAGCCAAACATCACTAGACTCCAATGCTGATAGCCAAGCTTCCGTTTCCATCGCTGAACGAGGTCGTAAAACGACAAGGTAATAAAATTAATTCCCATAACCTAAAAATACAATAAAATTAAAAAACTTCTTTTCTTTCGTTATAGAATAAAAACCGATTTGAAATCACGCGTGCAGTCCGTCCTCAAAGCCCAAGACTTCCAAGTCTGCTTAACCATCATTGAGGCGCGTCAACTCGCAGGACTCAACATGGATCCAGTGGTGTGCATCCAAGTCGGCGACCAACGCAAATACACCAGCGTCAAGGAAAGCACGAATTGTCCGTACTACAACGAAGTATGTCCAATCACATATAACCTCACATCTCGTAAAACATTTCTATCATGCCTTGACCTCATTCAACCTAACCACAATCGAACACACAATTATTTATTGACTTGCGTCCACGGAAGTTTGCTCCCCGTTTTATTTCCTGTCGGTTGATGTCGCTTGGTGGAAATAAAGAGGAGATTTGTAACGGTGGGTTTTTGGTTTTGTTCGTGTTGCAGTACTTTGTCTTCGACTTCCACATGCCTGCAATAATGTTATTCGACAAGATAATCACGTTATCGGTGAGTATTCGAAGCGTAGTGTAACTTTTACGATTTCTAGCGTCGTGGAAATTTACGAGCGGTGATCATTTTAGTTTCTAGTTCTAAGACACTTCTTAGATAAGAGACGTGGTGGAATTATTACGAAATGATGCAAATTGATCGTTAGATGAATATTTTATGATAGGCAACCAAACATACTGTTTTATTAATGGTGTAGTAGGTGAAAATTTAATAGTAGTTTATTTATTTATTCATAACTCAAAAACTAGACAAGTTAGAACAATGATTTTTTTAATTATTTGATTCAGTATTAAATTATGCAACCAGAAATGACAATATTTAGCCGATTAAAGTTTAATTCTATGAATTATAAGTAATTAAACTTAATTTTCCTCAAAATTCATTAAAAGCTACTTTTTAGTTTAAAATACTTTGTAAATCATTGATTTTTTCAACATTTCAGCCATTTTTACTCTTTTATCCGTGGTTTCTCCCTTAAAAACCTAGTTTTTATACTTTTTATCTTCCTCTATTCAATTATCTCTTTGTTAGGTATGTTTTCCACTTTACTTCACCATTGCGCTACTTCAATTGTTATCGTTAGTGTTATTGTCAGCGACCAGCTTGCATTGTCTCGCATTGTGTCTCGGATTCCCTCCGCTTTCGCGATACAAAAACCGACGAAAAGCAAATGATTGGCGTATGTTCTAGGTTATGCATTCTAGAAAACTATTGCGTTCCGGCACGCTGGTTGGTTCGTTCAAGATAGACGTGAAGACCGTCTATGATGCGCAGGGTACTAATAAAAGCTCAAACATTTTATACTTTTACCTCTCTTCAACACAGAACCACACATATAATCATAAAACACGCACTAAACAACACACGCAAAACACCACCAACAGCCACCAAATGAGGTTATGATCCTCGTGTGGGCAGAGGAAGGAATTTTCATTACCGTTGCAGCTGGTGAGATTTTCACTGGAGCGCGAAATACAACAGTGCAAGAATAAAATGGAAATTCGTCAGCGTGAAATTTCTAACCTATTTTATCGCGCGCGCGGGTTTGTCCGCCGCAAACAAACACAACCGCAATGCGCGATAACGCAAACATGGAAACAGTCAGCGACGTGAGATCAATGCAAAACACTCGATTTTTCCCGGCGCATTTCATGCAACTTCAAGAATAAAAAATGCCAAGCACTCAAACAAAATATATTAGTTTTTTTTCGAGCGCAGCGAGTCGCTTTGAATGCAAATTGTTGTCAATAGAAGTCATTTCCGTGATTAACGAGCTTGTTTGTTGACAGAGTCTGCGCAAATTAGCGTAATAGCAAAAAAAAAGCTCATCTCGCACAGAATAAACGGATGTTCATACATCCATCAAACCCGCACTTCACACACACACAACACGATACGATCAATATCACCCCTTTCAGAACCAGAACGTAGGCAACTCTCAAAACTCTCCAAAACAATTGAAACTTGTGTATTGCATTGTCCGAGTATCAAGTATTCTTCGTAACTGGCTTGAACCACATACACTCTGTGATTGTGATTATGTAGCGCTTATTCTCGAATTCTTGTGTTCAATGACTTGTGTTATTATTGTATCACTCTGTATCGCATCAATGCGCGCCGCATCCATCACAGGTGTACACAAATTTCCTGCTCTTGCTCTTGCTGCCAATCTGTGGTGTGTTTCTTTTGTTCCGCAACGCAGGTGCTGCAGTCGCGCAGCGTACTCAGGGCCAATAAATTGTTGGGCTGCTTTAAGTTAGACGTGGCGACTGTCTGGGCGCAGCCAGGTACGCAACACAATACACACCGCATCTCAGTGTCATTTCAATGTCATTCGATGTCATATTCGATGTTCGATACACGGATTTTGACAGTAATCACTGTGTTACTGTCAAAATATATGAAATACTAACCTCAAAATTGCGCTATTCATGTAAGACTGGAAAAGTGAACAGCAAGCAGCAGGAAATGACGCAGTCGACGCACGAAAATCAAGTTTTCCTGCGTACGGCGCGTGTTTATATCAATCGTAATGAAAAAATAAATAAACTTGATTCGTATTTTCGCACTCATCATCATTCCGGCAACATATTTGCATGCAAATTGGCAATCGATAAGCACACTGCTGCTAATTGAATCTCACTCACCGCCACTTTTCACACACAGCCAAGCATGCCTTTCAATCTGTGTAGCTAATAAATTGCACTTTGAAAGTTTTTCATTTTCTGCGTTTCCTGATGTAAAATTTGCGTTTTCGGGATAGATCACCAGTTCTACCACAAGTGGGCGCTGCTTACTGACCCGGATGACATTGCTGGTGGACCGAAAGGTTATCTAAAGTGTGACATCAGTGTCATTGGCAAAGGCGACAGTGTTAAAGTGCCTCCGAAGAGCGAAAAAGACGAAGATGACATTGAAGCGTAAGAAAAGTTTTTTTCGCAAAAAAAAACATAAATTAATCTATTTTTATGATTAATTTCGCAGTAATCTACTTCTCCCTGATGGAGTGCCTATCGACAGACAAAGAGCCCGATACATTGTTAAGATTTATCGCGCCGATGGCCTCCCGAAAATGAATTCTTCTATCATGGCCAATGTTAAGAAAGCTTTCACAGGCGAAGTGAATGATTTAGTCGATCCATACGTACAAGTCTCCTTTGCTGGACTTATGGTAGGCAACCCAACATACATTTACCGTTAACCTCACTTAAACTAACCTCAATTTAGGGTAAAACTAGCGTGAAAAAACATAGCTACGCACCTGTATGGAACGAACAATTGGTCTTCACCGAAATGTTCCCACCTCTATGTCAACGCATCAAAATTCAGCTCCGGGACAACGATCCAGTGAAGCCCACGGTGATCGGAACGCACTTTATAGATCTGAAACAGATCGCGAACGACGGCGAAAAGGGTGAGGCGGAGGTTAGCGTCGTTCGCGCTGGCGTCTGGAGTGATCGCATCTTCAACCCTTGTGCTTTCAGGCTTCCTACCCACCTACGGCCCGGCATTCATCCATCTCTACGGCTCCACACGTGACTATTCCCTTATCGATGAACTTAGTTCGCTCAACAGCGGCCTGGGTGAAGGTGTATCTTATCGCGCACGTGTACTAATTGCCATCCGGACGGAAATCACCGATCAAGTTGACTTTGTGCCCACCGAGGTGGAGTTGGAGCCGACCGTTCCAATTAACGAGGCGTCCTATGGGAAGAATGAAGAGTTTTTCCTCTTTACGAGTATTCTAGATGCGAGTATGTTGGAGAAACGTCTGGGGGACAAGCCGGTCTACTTCGAGATCAGTATTGGTAATGCTGGTAACGCGATAGACGGGCATAATCAGTCGGCGAAGATGGAGAGTTGGGGCAATGAGGAGGACAGTGATGAATTGGGTAAGCGTTTTTTGTGGGGTGACGTTTATTGGTTAGGTTTTTATGGATGGTAAAGTCGCCATGTTTTTTTTATTTTTTTTGTGGTTTGTTTTATGTGTAGAAAGCGTGTCGGTGGATAGCGGTAGTTGGTTGAGCACAACGTCCCCGACCAAGCCGATGACTCACGACAAACTGCACTACTTTATGCCCTACTGGGACAACAAACCGTGCATGCACGTGCGGAGCGTTTGGCCTGACTATCGACGCCGGATGTACAATTCAAATATAATCGGAAAAATCGCTGAAAAACTCGTAAGAAACAATAAATCAAAAAATTTCAATAAAATAAAACAAAATAATAAAATTTAGGAGGAAGGTTTGAATGAAGTTCATGCATTAATGGACGCTGATAACTCCGAAATGGAACAACGCCTGAAACAAGTCTTGGATGAGTTATCAGCAGGTTGTAACAAATATGTTACGATTTCCAAAGCGTCTACGAGCGGGCCGGGCACAGGGAAAACAAAACTGGACAAGGAGCACTTAAAACTATGCCAGCGTGAAATGGTAGCTTTTAATATTAACATTAAGCTTAACTTTGATTTAATGTGAAAACTTTAATGCAATGCTGAAATTTTAATGACTTAGGAACAAATTGCTACCGGCTCGAGAAATCTGCGCGCTTTGGTCACAAAAAGCTCATTCAAGGAGAGATACAAAACGTCACTTACGTATCTGGCAAAGACGAAACTTTTAGTTGATGATGTAAGAAGCAGTATTAGTAAGTTTCGGTTATAAATTAATATTAAATTTTATCAATAGCCGCAACATGCGTTACCGGATGTGTTTCTGTGGATCATCAGCGGGGGAAAACGACAAGCTTATCATCGCATCCAGGCTCGGGATATTATCTACTCGATTGTGGATGAGGAAAGTGGGCGGGATTGCGGAAAAGTTCAAACGATGTTTTACAGGTAAAAATATTAAAATTTGTGTTTTGGATGACTTATTGGCTCAATTCGGTGATAACTTCTCTAAATTTCAATTTAAAAAAAGAAAAATGTTAATAATACGCTTTTGCGCCATCTGGGTTCGAATTATATAACTATAACTATGTTTTCTTCTAAATATCAACTTTTATCACTTATTTAACACCCTGTATGTTATATTTTTGCAACAAAAAGTAGTCTATTTTATTTTCCAAGGTCAAAATTACTTCTATACCAAAATTTATCAAAATTGGTTCAGGGGTTCATACGTGAACGAGTAACAAACAAACAATTTAACTATTATAAAGTGTATTTCTCAAAAAATTTAAAATATTTTACTTTAAAATGTGTTATGTTAGTTACCTGGCAAAAAAGGTCAAGGACCAAGCGGCTGGGCAATCCAAGCCAAACTTGAGATCTACTTGTGGATGGGAGTACTCAAGCATAAGAAGTACTTCGTCGACGGAATTCCCAAAGGCTACGAGTTATCCCAGGAACTCCGAAATGCTGAACGCCCGAGGGCGCTTCCGCCATGCATCGTGCATTACAATGAAAAACACGTAAGTCATTTCACCAAAAACTAACCTTAAAATAAACTTCTTAAAACTTAAAATTGCTCAATAGATCTTTCAACTTCGCGCAAATATCTACCAAGCTCGTTCATTAATCGGCTCCGATGCTTCCGGGTTATCCGATCCGTTCGCGAGGATAATCGCTGGTGAATTTAGTAAAACCACTCAAGTAATTGATGAGACCCTAAGTCCCACCTGGGATGAACTTTTAATATTCGAAGAGATATTAGTCTATGGTGACGGGGAAGAGATTCAAAAAGATCCGCCGGCAATAATCATCGAAATCTTTGATCAAGACAAAGTCGGAAAATCTGAATTTATTGGCCGAGCAATTGCTAAACCACAAGTTAAGCTAAGATATGAGCAATATGCAAAACCAAGGTTTCCAGCTGCGCTTGAATGGTTTGATATTACACGGGGAACAGATCGTGCTGGAGAACTTTTGGCAGCTTTCGAATTATTAGAGTTACCGTCAGATGACTCTCCTCCACTACCAGATATCCCGATGTGTAAGGAACGCCCAATGTATAAAGATACAGATCCAAAAGACATGGGGCCTATTCTTCCGGTCCCGCGAGGAATACGCCCCACTTTATCCCGATATCGAATCGAAGTGCTTTTCTGGGGATTAAGAGACCTCAAAAGAATTCATCTCCTCACCGTGGACAAACCCCGCGTGGACATTGAATGCGCCAGTCACATTCTCAACTCTTCCATCATACAGAATGCAAAGAAGAATCCCAACTTTGCTATGCCGGTTAAATTTTTAGATCTGGACCTTCCCGAACAGGAACTCTACCGACCTCCTTTGACCATCCGCGTGGTTGATTGTAGAAGTTTCGGAAGGTATACCCTTGTGGGCACGCATACAATCAACTCCATACAAAAATACACCTATACTCCAATCACAAAACGAGATAAAGACGCAGAGGAACGTAAAAAGTCCCTAAATCACTTGAGAGCTTTAGATACCAATGTGGAGTTACAAACCACACCAAATCACTTCTCAATGCCGAATGACATCAGAGAACGCAGTCCATTACTACCAAAGGACATGAATTTCGCGTCATTATCCACGTATGGCACAGACATACGCCCGGATCGTAATAAAAAAGAATTAAAGAAACGAAAACATAGCATAGAAGAGGATATGGAGGATGAAGAGGGTAGTAGGGATTGGTGGACCAAATATTTCGCATCTGTTGAAGAGATGATTAATGAATCCAAAGAGGCAAAGCGTTTGAATCAGGAGAGTACGTCGATGTTACTCGCCGCCGAGGAGAATGCTCAACTGATGGATAAAAGCCCCAACGAGACTAAACGACGCTTCGGGTTCAAGACCACCGCAAATGCGTCCAAGTTCGTTTCGAGGATTAGTCCCAAGTCGGTGCGGAAACGGGTTAAACGAAAAACCGCGCTGTGTAAGGTAAGAGACGAGTAAATATTTGATACATAACCTAGAAAATGAATGCGACGCCTTAAATATTTAGCGGTATTGTAATTTATTGCTTTCTAAGGATATAAATTCATTTCGTAGGTGTATCCGACCGAACTAGAGCAGAGGCATGAATTCAGCGGGTTTAAAGAATGGCTGCATTCGTTCGAACTCTATAGAGGCAAGAAAACAGGGGACGAAACTGAGGACGACAGTCGTATTGTTGGCTTATTCAAGGTAAATCCTTAAAATTTCAACGAAAGTTTATTATTTTTATTTTTCTACTTTTTTCCTCAGGGTGCAATAAAAGTGTATAAATGGCCGCTACCAAAGGATGTGGAAGACCACACGATAATGGGCTTTGATCCACAGTATGGATTTTTCCAAGGACTACCCTCCAATGACCCAATCAGAGTTTTGGTGCGCGTGTACATAGTAAAAGCCAACGATTTACATCCGATGGATCTGAATGGTAAAGCAGATCCCTACATTTTACTCCATTTAGGTTCGAAACGAATTAGCGACAAGGAGAACTACATTTCGAAACAATTGAATCCTGTTTTTGGAAAGTAAGTTTTTAAAAATTAAATTTTTAGGTTAAATATTAAATAAGTAATTAATTTTAACAGGTGTTTCGAGGTGGAGGCAACATTCCCTCAGGATTCACTCCTGACTGTGCAAATATTCGATTGGGACCTTGTGGGATCCGATGATATGGTGGGCGAAACCAAAATCGATTTGGAGAATAGATTCTACAGTAGACACAGAGCCACGTGTGGACTACCATCAAAATATGAAGAGTAAGTATAAATAAATAATATTATGAAATAAGAATATTGGCAAATATGCAGAAAAGAGAGGTTAGAATTACTAAACACCCTGTATATTTATTACTAATTGAACCTATCCTAAATTCGTGTTTCAATTAGGAGCGGTTACAACAGTTGGCGTGACGCAATGAAACCGACCCAAATCCTCGCGAAATTATGCAAAGACGGCAAAGTGGATGTCCCTACCTACGGAGATGGAGAAGTGCGCATCGGCCGGTATACATTTAATCTCCAAACGGAAGATTTTGACTTCTACACCACCAAAGACGTGGAGGAACACATGGCGCTAGCTGTATTACACAGATGGCGAGAGTTTCCACGTATTGGATGCGATTTGATCCCGGAGCACATAGAAACGCGGCCGTTGTACAACCCGGATAAGCCGGGTATCGAGCAGGGGAAAATCGAGATGTGGGTTGACATGTTCCCGATGGACATGCCTTTGCCCGGCCCTCCGTTGGATATATCTCCGCGTAAACCCAAGAGTTATGAGCTGCGGGTTATCATTTGGAACACGGACGATGTCATTCTGGAAGATGACGCTTTCTTCACTGGCGAGAAGATGTCGGATATCTACGTTAAAGGGTAAATCAAACATAACCTTTAATATTTTGGGTAAACATAACCTAACTTTATGAGTTTTGTTTGTTTGTTAGATGGTTAAAGGGTCCAGAAGATTGTCAATGCACGGATATTCACTATCGGTCACTCACAGGCGAGGGTAATTTCAACTGGAGATTCATTTATCCCTTTGATTATATGGTCGCTGAGCAAAAAATCGTCATCTCACGCAAAGAATCGCTTTTCTCGTGGGATGAAACCGAATGTAAAATACCAGCGAGGTTAGAACTGCAGGTTTGGGATGCTGATCACTTTTCGGCTGATGATTTCCTCGGGGCAATTACCCTCGACCTTAATAGGTTTCCCCGAGGAGCGAAATCGTCGAAATTATGCACGTTGGAAATGCTCAAGTCCGACTGCGTACCGATGGTTAACATATTTAAACAGAAACGCGTCAAAGGCTGGTGGCCCTTCTTCGTTAAGAAGGATAATGAAGATCTAGAGTTGACTGGAAAAGTCGAAGCGGAATTTCATTTACTGACCAAAGACGAAGCGGAGAAAAATCCAGTCGGGTATGGAAGAGGTGAACCGGATGCACTTGAAAAACCAAAGTAAGTTAATGAAATGTGATGTGATGATATTTTGAGGTTATAACGATTTCCGTTTACAGTCGACCAGATGCATCATTCATGTGGTTCCTGAACCCGCTCAAGTCGATACGTTACATCATCTGGCACAATTACAAATGGAAGATTCTCAAACTGTTGATTATCCTCGCTGTGGCGATTATAATTTTGCTGTTTGTGTACGCTGTGCCTGGATATACAGTGAAGAAAATGATGGGCGCTTGAAGAATATCAAACGATATCATAATAACATTAAAACTCCAATTTTAACGTAGCTGACAAGATAATACTAGTTGTAATTACGAATATTTATTATTGTTATGGTTTCTGATTGGTTTGAGACATTGCTAGTGGTACGAAATTCTGGTTTACGAGTATGTATGTTTTGTACCGAAACTTATTTGATGCACAAGTGAACCTTATAGAAGCACTTCAACTGAGCAAACCGAAATTATAGTTGCAGGAGTTTTAGCTTTTAACTTAATAGTATACATATATATTGTTAATGAAATTTGGATTGCTCAGGTCGATATTGTAAATTATCAAAATGTAACATAATGTGATGCAATCATTATACCCAGATCACTAATTGCAAAGTACAAAACATGTGAACTTGCAGTATTTCTCATGTCTGAATCAGTCTTCTTTTATTGATTGATTAATCATTAATTTTAACTGAATTTGCGAGTATAAAGTGCTGACACATCATTTTAAATGTTTTGTGAAACAATTATAATTAAGATTAGGACATTTTTTAAAGATTTAACAAAGTTTGTGTGATTATTATTATCTTTTTGAGTTAGACAGGTTCAGATAGTGATAATTACTGTACACGCACTTCAAACACATACATGTAAGCAAGTTGTAAGTAATCAATATGAATCAGTGAATACAGAATCACACATTTGACCTAACTAATAATAATTATTGTTAACAAATATGTAATGTTATTGATGCATAGCATACAATCGTGCGCAGATAAGTCTCACATAAATTACAATTTAAATAAACATTATTTATTCATTAATTATTCTTTCTCACGTATTTTGTGAAACCAGACCTATTTTACACATTTTAGATATCAAATATTCTTTGAAGAAACCTAAACGCTTGTTTTAAAATAAGGTTTTTTTTGTTTTATTTTCGAAACACGTTTTTACACCCACTTTTAATCACGTTACACTTTTGCTCTACGATATTTAAATATTTTATATTCTAATCTAATAGAGAATTTTCCAATCTTTCATAATCTGCAATTCGTTGAATTATAGCGGTTTTAGTTTAGAAGATATTCACTATCAAAAAACATCGATAAAAATTATCAAGCACTCCCCTTGCCCATTTTGCCCAGGCTTTTATGTTCTAGTGCATACAAATAATTGCAAAATTAAAGGGTAAAATCAAAAAAAACTAATTTAAAACTGTAATTTGTTTATTCATACAAATATTTCCCAAATTTATATATGGTGTAATATATATTTTAACTTAGAGGATTAGGCGCGGTATTCAGTTCCACCATAGTTTGTTGCACTCTCTTCAAATTGTCCAACAGAACATCAACAGTGTGTGGAGTCATAATAACATTCCGTGTATTCCCATTGATTGTCAGCTGCATTTTGGCGCAGTTTGTTTCATCATCGATTGATAGCGAAACATCTTGTAATGGATTAACTAAAACCAAAATAATTTAAAATAAACACTAAAACATAAGAATTAATAATGTAAATTTACTTTTCAGAGAAGATGACTTTAGTATAGCATGGATTTCTTGGGCTTGATCATCAATAACCTTCTTTATTGCCGTGGAATGCTCGCGAGGTAACCCCAACTGTTGTAATTCACTGTTCAATGCATTATGATCACAGTTATACCTCACAGTTGAATATAAAATGTATTGTATACAAGCTATACAAGCTTTCAAAGAAATAGTTGGATCAAGTTTCGAGTCTGAGAATAACTTCTCAGCATTCCCCATCTAAAAATAATTATTTGAAGATTAATTTAAATAAAGTTATAGACATTTATATTAACCATAAGGGTTGGTGCTCCAAACCCTTTAGCAACCACATTGGTGAGTTGTTTAAGCTTGACTGATGATAGTTTTGAGAGATTATTGATTGAAGCCAGAACCCAATCAGGACAATCAGCATCTCCACAAAATTTAAACCTCTAAACAAACAATACATTAGTAAATAATGTAAAATCTAATATGTGTGAATATAATTACCATGTTGTAAAGATTTGTTTATTTCAGCAAATCAACTTTACTTTTGATGAAGTAAACTGCAGGTAAAACTGAAGTTTTACAATCACATTTAATACCAGACACAAAATCGAACGCCCCAACTCGTGCGTTACAACTAGGACAATTTAATTTGCCTTTTGCCCACTGTTCTTCTTCAACAGAAGCTTTTATCCACTCTGGCAGGCAAGACTCATCTACAAAGATCAATGTTTCTTCTGTAACTGACACACAATCACCTTGATAATCCTTATCGTTGTGAGCATTAATTAAAGCAGTACACTGGTCTTTATTCAAAATAATTTGTCTACATTTCTTGCACTTCAAATGTTGTATATTGCAATTGTTCATGACTACCTACTGAAAAATAAAACATCTGAGTCGAGGAATATTCCGAGGTTAAACGTATGTTGGGTAGTATATTCATGCGGCACTTAAAGTTCGCGCGTAATTTCCAAGATCATTCACTTTTTGCTTTGTTGCTTAGTTACAAAGTGCAAGAAAACCGTGTTTTTACGTGTCATCAGCTGTTTGTTTTAAGTTAATAAGGGTTTCACGAGTGCATATAAGTGATAATGGAATTAATACATGATCCTGAACTAAAAAGTAAATACGAAAAGTGCAAATATAAAGTGAAATACTGGGAGCATCAGTTCAAGAAACAGAATGGAAGGTTACCATCAAAGGTAGGTGCAATGTAAATGTAATATAGCGGTCTAAACAGTTCAGAGGACTTGAAATAGTCCATTATATCATTAAAAACATTAGAAATGCATTAGAATAACAGTGGCCAATACGTTTATTTTGTTTTCTATAAAATATATCTACTTTCACAACATTGTTTTTCTGTATTACTTCATATTACTTCATTTCATCTTTATTTCTTCAGATTTTGGGTGCAAATTGTGAAGTTACGCAGTCAAAATGAATCAGAATGAAGTTTTTTTAAAGATTGCTTTAGTACAGTTGAGTTTTTAAGACTTTATTCTATTTTTGTCTAATAAACTGCTATTAATAAATATAATGTACAACTTTTTTTGTAAGTTACAGTCACGCAATCGAAGTTAACTTTATAATTACTAGAATCATTACTACAAATTGCTTCTTATTATAAATCAATTACTCTCAAATAATTTGTTGTTAGCTATTAAATGATCGATCCAAATCTTTATGCAACTATTTCTCCTAACATTTATAACATATTTATAATATTTACGCAGTTGGACATTCGAGAAGCTAGTAATGAAATCCGCTACGCCTATAAAACCTACTTCAATCTAAAATCAGCTGCACTAGAAGCCAGTTTCCAAAACATTGATGGTTTTGACTCCGAAGATGACGAAAACTCAAGCTCAACTCTTAACACACCCAACATCAGCACCACTGAAGACAGCAATAATTGCAGCAGTAATTTCAATGCCAGTTCAACAATACCATCAGAAGAATCAAATTTTCAAGATTCACCAACTGTCAATACCAACAATACAGAGTTAACAGACAATGTAAACTCTGACAAAACATGGGGCAATCACCTAAACAACAAACCTGAAACAAAAGTTACAAAAGCCAATAAATTTGATGCAAGTTCAAGTTTTACAAAGAAACTATTCAAGAATTCCAATCCATCCAAACGTAATCTTCGAAAATCTATCTCATTTCATCATAGAAACAGTGATACAAGTTTAAATGTATCAGGGAATAGTTCTTTTTCATTCTCACAACCTACAACATCTTGTATGAATGATACTTCTATGAATGATGATAGTTTTAGTGTTGTTAACATGCCAAACAGTGAGAATCTGCGTGTGACGAAACCAATTGAACCTGTAAGAATGAATTCTTTGAATGTTGTGCAGGCTGTACTTGATGAAAAGTTTTCAACTGTTAGAAATGTTGATGCTGGATGGATGAAGAGAGTTGCAGTCAGTGCTGGTACTAAGATGGTGAATAGAAGTCTGAGTGAAGGTAACTTTGCATTAAGTCATCAACTTTATACTAATCAGACTAAAGATACAGCTGATCATGACAGTGATGAGATTATTGGTGATTCTGATGAGGATGAAGACTCAAAATTGCATTTTAGTAAACGACGAAAGTTGAATCATGTTAATCATGTAAATACTTCTGTTATTCAACCTATAGAATTGACTCCAACACAACCAATTGAAACTAAACATGAAGAAGTGATGGAAGTTGAAGAAAATGTAAAACCTGCTATAGTTAAACCTGAAATAAAAACTAAACCAATTGTGGATAAAATTGTCGATAAAGTAGAAATTCCATCCAGAAAATCAACAAGAAATCGAAAAACTTTAGTTTCTTTAGATCTAAATGACCCGGATGATGAACAAGATCCATTTGCTAATGATGAAGATGAAGATCCTGACTTTATAAAAGATTCTACTACTAAACATGTTGAGGATGATGATGATGAAGGTGAAACACAAGTAAAAGTTAAAAAGAAATCACTTCCAAAGAAGAAATCACAACCTAAGAAACAACCGAAAGAAAAGAAACAAATTGAAGAACAAGTTGAATCAACCGAAGAAGAAAAAACTTATGAACTAGAATTCTCTATAAAACCAAGGCGTGTTACTGTTCCACGTGATACCAACTTTAAAAACGTACTCAAAAAGTCTAAGTCTCAACCAGAATCATCAAAACCAAAAGAACCTCAAATGAAAACAGCGCAACAACAGAAGATGGAGAAACTCGAGCAAAAAATCAAAAGCGGTAATCTCAATGATAACTTTGTACGCATTAACCTTGAAAAGAAAACTTACTCCAGAGGTAAAAAGTCGATTAACTTCAGTAAATACAAAAAGAAGCTGTGGAAGCAAAACAAAGCGAAAAATGCACTTTGCGGGCCTGATATGGACATGCGTGGTTGTGATGGCGGACACTTGACTTGTTTTAATTGTGGTAAAGTCGGCCATTTTGCTGAAAAGTGCCCAATGCAGAAAGAAGATGGTTTATTACCTCTTCCAGCAGGAGAAGAGAATTTTTGTCCTTATCCTACATTAGAGGAAGCTTCAGAAATGGCCAAAGGACAACTTGCGATCAGAAGGACAAGACAGGATGATAAACAAGATGGCGGGGATGCTGGAGAAGTGGATAAAACAGATAATCAAGAAGATGAGCAAGATGATGATGAAAATGAAGATGATTCAAGTGAAGATAATGAAAATATTGATAATAACATGTTCAGTGACAATGACGATGATGATTTGTTAGCAGAAACATTAAGACTAGAAGAGTATGTTAAAAAGGTTGATCAACAACAATTCATTGACGATTCCAGAGTGATCAAACCATATTACAACACAAATGAAGACGGTTCAATTATCCCAACCCCACAGGAAGTTTTTGATGTTCTAGAAATGTTTGGTCATTCATCATTCCGTGGCGGGCAAGAGAAAGCAATCATGCGTATACTTTCCGGTCAATCAACCTTGGTCACCTTGAGTACTGGTTCCGGTAAGAGTTTGTGTTACCAACTACCAGCTTATCTTCTCACCAAACGCGAACCATGCATTGCTTTGGTAATATCCCCTTTAGTATCACTCATGGAGGATCAGGTAACTGGTATTCCCAAATTCCTGAAAGCTGAGTGTTTACACACAAACAAAACTAAAGTTCAAAAGGAGCGGATATTAAACGCTATAAGTACAGGAGATTTACACATATTGTTGGTTTCACCGGAAGCTGTGGTTGCTGGTGAGAAACAAACAGGTTTCGGGTCACTGTTACGCAAATTACCACCAGTTGCATTCGCTTGTATTGATGAAGCGCATTGCGTGTCACAATGGTCACATAATTTCCGTCCTTCGTATCTGATGATCTGTAGTATACTGAAAGAACGTTTGGGCGTTAAAACTATCCTGGGATTGACTGCTACTGCCACTAGAGCTACCAGTGATAGTATTATTAGTCATTTATCTATTCCTGATGGTCGTAATGGGATTATTAGTGATATTCCACTGCCGAATAATTTAAGATTGACTGTGTCCAAGGATGGAAATCGTGATAATGCGTTGTTGAATCTTGTACTATCGGAGCGTTTTGAGAATTTGAAGAGTATAATTGTGTATTGTACAAGGAGGCAGGAATGTGAACGGATTGCATCGTTATTGCGGACTAGTTTGATGAATGAAAATCATGTAGAAGTTGAGGAGGGTAATAAAAGGAAAAGGAAGAAGTTGAAGGTTCAGGCGGAGCCTTATCACGCTGGTTTGCCTGCTAGTAAGCGGAGGAGTATACAGAATAGTTTCATGCGAGGTGATTTAAGGATTGTTGTTGCAACTGTTGCTTTTGGTGAGTTTTTATCTTTAAAAAAGCGAAAAATTTCTAATTTTTGTTTTGTTATTATTTAAACAGGTATGGGTATTAATAAGTCTGACATTCGAGCTGTGATACATTATAATCTGCCCAAGAACTTCGAGAGTTACGTGCAGGAAGTGGGTCGTGCTGGACGCGATGGTCTTCCTGCTCATTGTCATTTGTTTTTGGATGCACAGGTAATACAGCCATTTTCTTTTTTCTCCTGCTGACATTCATTTGGTGTTATGTTGGTTGCATACTTACACTTACATATCTCTTCTAAATTTTATTTCTAGGGTCGTGATGAAGACGAATTACAAAGACACATTTTCTCGGATTCATTAGACCGTCATGTTATCCGTAAACTAAACTCGAAGATTTTTGTCCCCTGTACGTGTAAAGGTGTCTGTCCAAAACATGAAGTGGCGTTCCCTATAGAACAAACAGTTCAGGCTTTGGATATTCCTGAAGAAAACATTTCAACACTTCTTTGTTATTTAGAACTTCACGATAAAAGATACATCGAAGTTTTGAGTCCTGCGTACACAACTTGTAAAATTATCGCGTATGGTTCAGGGAATTACATTCGTAAAGCAGCGCAGGATTGCCCACCACTTGCAATGGCGCTGGCACTTTTCGCAAATAAGGAGAAAGATAAAGAAAACATTTTTGAGTTTCCTATTGTTGATGTGGCGGCTGCGATGGGATGGGACAGTGGGATATGCAAATATAAGCTTAAAAATCTAGAATGGACATCAGGTATTGTAAATTATTACTTTCTATACTCCAATAGCTAATTTTTAATTGTTTAACTTAGAAAATGGCCAACCAAAACGTTCCTTCCTCACGGTACAGTTCCATGATCTCGGGTTTCGTCTCCTTGCGCCTGGGAATCTCACTGATGAACAACTAGACGAAGTTTTGGACTCTTTATATTCGCGTGTACAAAATCAAGAAAAATGTGCGCTGCTACAACTACGCTCTCTGCACGAGACTGTCACCGCATGCGCAGAAGTCACCTATCGACAATGCATCAACGACGTAGTAACGGAAAAAGAACTCCAATTGAAAAATCGCATACGTGAATATTTCGACAGTGCTCAGCCATTATCTCTGTACGAGTTGAAACCGAAACCTTGCGATGAAGGTCTCATTGCTAACGATTGCCGCGCTATGATTAACATGTACAGAGATAATACTTTCACTGGTAGGGCATTAGCGAGGATATTTTATGGTATACAGAGTCCTAACTATTCCGCTATCATTTGGGGGCGCTGCAAGTATTGGCGAGCGCATATCAACTCAGATTTTCATAAAATCGTTCGAATTGCTACGAAAGAGATACTGAAACACAGGTAATATCCGGTTTGTGATCAATTTTACACTCAAGATGACGCCATTTTGGTATTGTGATATACTCCACTTGTTAGTTATTTTATTCTTAATCTATATTGTAATGTTAATTTAAGTTTTGTTTAAATCTCGCATTTAATAACAATCAGTCAATGTCTTACATTTTTTCGGTGTTGCCGGCGGCCATTAAAACACAAACGCACACTCGACCCATAATAATACCAAACTTTAAACTAAACCTATGTAACTATCCTAAAACCGTAGTGGTACTTTGTGAGCTTGTTGTTCGTCTTATCCTGCATTTTAGTAATCTTTTTCTTACTGTTTTCATCGATGCAGCAAGCGCAGAATTCGCTGACAATAACGTGCAGCGGACTCTGGTAGAAAATATCCGAACCGCGTAGACTTTTGTTTTTCTTGTGCGCCCAGATGTGCAGACTGATCTCAAGCACACCGAGGAAGATGGCGACGACAGGCGCGAAGATCACAGTCGGCAGGAGGAAGAGAATGACTGAACTCATGCGGGTGTTGCGAAAGTCATCAGCAGGAAGGTGGCACTGCTGATGGTCTGCTTGTTCGCATGGTTGGCGGATGTAGCCTTGAGGTATTCGGAAGGAACGGCGCGCTGTGGGTTGCGTAAAGTTCATTTCCGGCTCACCAGTTTCGGAGTTGAGACGTGGGCTGGCGGGCATCTCGCCGGTTTCCCTGTCGCAGACAGACATTTGTACTTCGCCGGTTTCCAAATCCATTGTTCTAAACAAAAATAATTTGTTTATCATTTTGCGTGCAATGTTTTATTCGTTAGAATATTTTTGTAACACTATGTTTATATGCGTGTATGTTTGGTTGCCTAGCGTAAAAAGTTTATTCAACTAATTTCTAAAACGTCGTGACCGGTTTTGACTCTTTTGTACGCGCAGAAATACTACAGGTCATGTCCGTAAGATAACAAAACATATTAACAATTGATTTATACTAATATTTATTTATATTGCAGCTGCGTAGTTCTTTTAAATGGTAACCATTAATTTAAAAAAATATCTAAACCGATATAACCTTACAATTTTTAAACGCAGTTATTGCACAAGGAACAGTCAGTGTTGCAGGTGACGAATCTTTAAATTTATTCCACGAATAGTATGTACTTATTAATAGTTTCGCAGGTATTCCGAAACGATTGACTAGTTGTAACCTTGTCGAGTTTTTACAACACGTTTTTACAATGTGTAATTACGTGAAACATTCGAATTTGACACGAATAGAGATTGTTAACTTGTAACTATAAAATATTATCGAAAACAATCGAATAATTTCATATTGCGGTCAAGAATATTACGAATATTTCATGTTTGGCAGTGGAAAACAAAATGTATTCCGCGCAATTAGTTGACATTCATGTGCGTACCGTTAAAAACAAAATAACAGGAATCGTACGCATTTCTCGTGCGCAGATTGATTTTTGAATCGGCGATTTCCGGGCTGCGTTTGTATGCAAATGTTCAACTGTGACTTACTTGACCCTTCGCGATGGCGACGCACAAGTCCGTTGTGTTTAACGTTAATCGTTTCACCAGCTAAACTTTTATCGCTAACCCACCGCGAGATAATCATCGATTGATAGTGATAAATGAAAACTTTCCTGCCTGCGTGCGAGTATAAACTTAAATATAATTAAATGCATTGTTTTCGTTGATTACCTTTAGCTTAATAATTAATTGAGTGTATAACAATCGCAATTAATTAATCCAAAATTGTAATTGGCGTTGCGTGGCGCGTAGGATGCACAATGATTTGCGGCGCGATTGCACTTAAGTAGTTTAGAGTTAATTAAATCGTTGCGTTCGTGGTGCACTGATCGCCGGCGGGCGGTGAGCGAAAGCACGACTTGCGGCCAGGCATTATCAACGCTTCGCGACCAACTGATTGTCCTGCGAGCGAGCTGCGATCGTAATGAGCCCGCACACGTCGCGGACGCCATCTGCTTAATTACAATCATGACCATGTGCTGGAGACGTGCGCGCAATATTTACCGACATCGATGTGTATTTATAGGTTTAGAAATGCGCCGAACGCTGATAAAAACTTCAAATTATAGCAACACAATTGATGTAGTAATAATAATAAGAAAATTAATCAATTTCGGCGCGATATTCTTGAGTATTTTGACGATTAATCATGTATTGCATAATATTACATCAGCGAATGATATTTGTTTAGTCAAAATCAACAAGCACACTATCTTATACAATATTTTTTTGTTTTTGATGGCGTGAAATTAGATTTGGCGCAGTTCCCTTTTAATATTTTGCGATTCGGGTTAATTTATACTTGTTATAAATATGTATTAACTTTAAAGTTTTGGTTATTGCTGCATAGTGTTTATTAATTAAAATCTACTTGATGAAAGTTTTAATGGTAGGATTATTATAATGAATGTGATGAGTAAACAAAATTAATTGTACATTCACATTTACATTGTTTAAATTTGTATGTAGCTTTCGATACATAATTGTTAACGCTAAATTTGTTTAGTTTAATTATGCATTAGTTTTAGAAGCATTAGTTTTCGAGTAATTGTGAAGTGATTAAAAGAATACGTTAGGTTACAAAAGGTAAGTATGTTTCACTACATGTTTTACCACATAGTAGTATTATATGGCTGAATATTCCTGAAACCATTGAAGAAGGTTTCTTTATTTTCCTACCAGTCTTATGGAGTTTCAACATGTAACTGTCAAAACTATTCATTAAGTTACGTGATGTAAACTGACAAATTTTCGAACTTTCCTTGTTGAATGCATAGATGTCTTCGTCTAGACATGAGTTTGTCGCACATAAATACAAGTTAATAACAATAAAGCTCATGAATGTCAGAGATAATCTCGTATCATGAATGTTTATATTTGTACAGTATGACAGGATAAAATTTGTGAAGCTGTTCCTTAAATATATTTTTATATTTTTTAAGGAGATATGTACAAGTTGCACGCTGCTAAAGCGTGCATTCTTTCTGGGACTAAAGGAAGAGTACCGGTTGCCAAAGAAGGACTTAATATATGCGGAGGAGGATCCTGATATTCGTTATTGTCATACATCTTTTAAATTATCAGTAAATTTACAATGACGTATTAAAATAATTGTACTATAAAATGGTATGCTTTAATAATAAGCACTAAAAACGTACAATATTTTAATATCATGAAAATGATACTAATTAACACCAATTTGGCGGACGCGCCTGACATTTTAAGTTGTGATTGTATAAATTAAATCTAGTAGTACCAGTGCGTAGAGTGGTCTTTAGTTGCCTCATTTATATTACTTTTGACTTAGTAGTTTCAAAGGATTACCCTATAAATATGTTTATGTTCAACGAGTACTCCAAGTAGTATTTAATTTCTAATTATCTCATAAACTAATCAAGATATTCAGGAACAGAAAACGGCATAGTATTTCGCGAAAAATTCTATATAAGATTATATTTTAAAATTTGTAAAATTAAAGAATTAAAATTTAATTTTCCAACCCAGTTTTCTCGAAAAGTAATTAAGTTGGGAAAGATTTTTCTGCATATTGTTCATGCCATGATAAGGGTCTATAAAATGGCAGATTTAGTTTTTTGATACTTTAAAGTCGACAAAAACTGGGAAAATTTTGTCAAGAGGTTACACTTGACTACTTTTTGGTCCAAAAATTATTTTTTAAGTCAGAGCAAAATGGAAAACGCCAATAGATAGAGAATAGCAATGCGATGAAAGATTTGCAGTCAGTTTTCCGATAGCATCGATATTTCGGAAAATGAGAGGTGAAATCAGAACGGACGAAATTGAATCTCACCTCGGATTGTTACCAAACTTTCTAAACAAATGTAAAATAATGACAGGAATTCATTAATTCAATTTTTGTTTCGCTATCTTAATTAGTTTTCAAGTTATTTACCATTTTCACTTATTACATAAGTATGGGTAATTGAATAATTTTAAATGCCAAATAGATTAAAATTATGTTCTTGTTTTCAATCTGAAAACCATTTTTCTATAACTATAATAGTTTGCGAGAAAAGTAAGAAAAACAAGATTTCTAGTTTTCTTCATCATCTCTTAGGCAAAAAATTAACTTTGAAAATTTAAACATTTTCTTGCGGATAATACGAGGAAATGTGATTTTAAATCCTTTATTTTAGTAATATTTTGTTATCAAATTAATCGTTTAGACAATAATTACAATATTTAGTTAAATATTATTCATGTTCACATGTTAAATAAAATTGGTATTTCCAGTTTCAACCGGCTAGAGTAGCGCCAGGCTACTTTGTATTCTTTGCTATTTTCTCATAAGCATACAATAAATTACAATTAGAGTGTCTAGTTATAAGAAACTTTTACTTAAATGAATAATTCTCACGAATTTATTGAGTAATTCAAGAAAAATTACATTATGTAGATGTGATACTTGATACTTCCTAAGAAGTGTAATAGCGCAATGTAGAGAAGCCCTTTATCCATTATACAACAATTCAAATATCGAAAAATATTTTTAACAAAATAGTTATATAGTTAACTAATAGTCAATAGTTAATGTTAGCATTCCAAGGAACTTCCTGAAGCCTCCAAAAGGGGAAATTTTAGGTTGGCTGATGAAAAAATTCACATATAAAATTTTGAGTGTAAAAAACACTTTATTTATAAACTTCCACATAGCAATTACATAACATGTTAGATCTATACAATTATATATCGTTAATTCGACCCCACTTGTTGCGCGACTTCGTCTTTTCCAACTTCAACCAACTGGGGACATAACCCTCATACTTAACAGCATTTGGATATGGCAGTGGCTTCTTAGGCGGTGAAAAGGGATCCACATCCTTTAATTTCCGCAACAGAAATTCTTTGTTAATTTGTTTCGGATCTCTATAACGGTCCATATACAAGTTGAAGGCTTCTCTCAGCGGGAACCACTCTTGCTTCTTCACATAGGTTTCGGGAAAATCATATTCAAAGATTGGTTCTTGCATATCTAATTAATTAATTAAAAAATAATTAATAGATTTAAAATAAGAACAATATAAATATGTGTGTACAAACTTACTTAATTTATTATGGTAAAACTCATTTAAGGAGGAATCCCAATCAGCTTGGAAGAATGCAAGTCCTGCGGGTGTTAAATCATCCTGTAAACCTCTATAGAATTCCTGAGTTGAGAATGTTCTATCTGAAAGGTTTAAACATGCGCCATCGCGTTTCCACGCAGAGAAATCCAATTTTTTCTCTTGTTTGTAAAGAACAAAGATATGACGGTGGAATCCGGTGCCTTTCGGAGGAAAAGACTGCAGGTAGTTCACAATTGTTTCACCTTTACTGAACTGATCACCAGGAATATTGCCTCTGTAAATATAAATTCATTCATTTATAACTCAAGAACTGGTGAACAGATTTCGGTAATCTATGACTTTTTGGAATCGTCTCCGCCCGGAATAGCAAAATAACTAATAAAATCAGAAATTGTGACTTAAATGAAGTTATTTAACTTGAAAATTGGTATACAGAATCAATCATAATGCACTATTAGCATTTCTAAATCTAAGAAACAAGATAAAAATTAATTAGTTTTACTAAAAACTACAGGGATGAAGTTGAAGACAAAAGCTATCTTATAATAAAATTGCAAAACTTACACAAACCAATGCACATATTCCTTGTTATTCTCAGTTAAATGCCCATCAGGATTGGTCATAATTAGTGTCCATAGTCCATCATTTCCCTTGGGACTATTAAATTCAACTTCAGGAGCACTTGCTGTATCACTTGGTTTCAAAACATTTCCATAATAAACTGGAGCTACTTTATCCCCTCCTATATTGTATTTTACATGTAAGGGTACCACTGGAGCAAAGTAAGCATCCCCAAAGAGATGTTCAAATACTCCATAATGTTCTGCAATTTGTTGAATATGTTGGGGCCCACCTTGTGTCAACCACTCTTTTTTCACATCATCCAAATTAATCAACACTAAAATGACAAAAACAATAATTCTAAGACTCAAAACTCAAAATTGTACAAACATGACTGATTTCTTGATTGTTTCTCCAGTTCCTTATTTTGTCTGTTGTTTTTTAAAACACCAATGCGACTGGCCTGATCCTGGACTGTCTTTGAAGCAGCAAATCCAATATTCACTTTGAAAGTGAGCTTTGGATCCTTGTAGTTAATTTCTAAAAGATTTTCAGTTTGTAAGAGAAGTTGTGTTGCGATTTAATTTGATTTTTACCTTCTAATCTCTGTTGGAGAGATTTTGCAACTCCAGGTGGCTTTCCTCTTAAGTGATGACCATTTCTTACTATATTTACACATGTTTTGTTTAATTGTGTTAAAGTATTTGTTGATTTTAAGAGTACAAACATTTTATTAAATATTTCTTGCACTTTATTCAATTCTAACCTAGGAAAATCAGCACACGGTTCAACCTACTTTGTTTTTCAATCAAGTTTAGAACTTTGTACCCAGAGGGCGCTAGGAGACTGATTTAGAATAAAATATATAACAACAAAATATTAAAAAAAAATTATGCGTGCAGTTCACACGCGGTTTTACTTCTAAACCTTCAGAACACTGCTCTGCGAGAGAATCTTATCTCTTTTTAGTGTCGTTTCATTAATTTTAAAATCACGATTCTAAGGAAGTTTTCACTTCAAATATTAATTGTTGTTTGTGACTGTTGCTGAAACTAACAATACAAAAATGAAGTTTATTAATTTTGTCTCGTTGACGGAACAAGTGACAATCTCTCACTTAACTAAAATTCCTAGTGTCAAGCGCCAAAGAAAATTCATGTTCATATTCGTTTCGGGAATCTCACGACGAGATAAGTTTAAATTAAACGTGCAATTCACCTAGCAATTAGATGGACATCGTCGATGCTAGTGAACTAATATGCAACACTTAGGCAGAGTATGTAGACAGCTGCGTTCAAGCAGCGTCAGCGGCCGCCGAGTCGCTCAACAACGAATACTAAACTACACAGATCGTCCGCCGCCTCCACCGCCCGGCTACAAATGGCAAACATTCGCTGGCGTCGCAGTAATATCCGCCGTTTGCAGCGCAATGATCTACAACTTCTACGGTCACACTCTGATCCCAAAGAAAAACAACTACAATAACAACGCATTGCATATCAGCAACAATTTTCAAGAACTACAAGATTTCAAACTGCGCGACCGCTTTAATTTCATCAACAAAGTAGTTGAGAAGTGTGCACCATCCGTGGTGTACGTAGAAATACGCGACACGCGTAAAATCGACAAGGAGACCGACAGTCAATTAATTGTCTCAAACGGATCAGGGTTTATCGTGTCTGACGACGGCTGGATATTGACTAACGCACATGTTGTGATTAACAAGCCCAGCGCTGTGGTGCAGGTGAAAATGCAAGACGGAAAGACCTACACAGCGACCGTGGAGAACGCCGATATGAATATAGATCTGGCGTTGATTAAGATTAATCCGGAAGGGAAGCTACCCGCACTACCGCTTGCGAAATCAGGCGATGTCAGCGTTGGTGAATGGGTGGTTGCATTGGGAAGCCCGCTGTCTTTGAGTCATTCAGCGACAGCTGGTGTGGTAAGACATAGCCTCAATACACATCTATCAGGTTGGCAACAATGCTTATATTTTAGGTTAGCTGCGTGAATCGCAATGCGAACGAATTGGGTTTACGGAATTATCAGATGCGTTACATTCAGACGGACGCGCCAATCACGTTCGGAAATTCGGGCGGACCTCTTGTCAACTTGGACGGCGAAGTTATCGGCATTAATAATCTTCGGATTACTGCTGGTATATCGTTTGCTATACCAGTTGGTAAGATATACAATTTATAACCTAAAAAACATTAATTTTATTTTTATTTTTTAATTTTTAGAATTTGTATCGAAATTCCTCGATAGAATTCATTACATCAATGAAAATAAAGTTCTGCCGGTGCATACAGTTAATAATTTAGGAATAACAACAATTACGATGAATCATGAAATAGTTGATGATGTTGCAACAAAGTTTCAATTGCTTTCCGGTGATATTAAGCAAGGAGTTTTGATTTGGAAGGTTATGCGATCAAGTCAAGGAGAAAAGTATTTTATTTTCATTATTTCCTTGTTATTCAAACTTGCAATAATCTAATTATAATTATTACAGGATAGGATTTTTGGTAGGTGATGTAGTTACTCACGTAAATGACGAACAAGTCAACTCCACGGTTGATTTATACGATAAGTTGCTACCCGGGAAGAAAAACGTTCTGAAAGTTTTACGAAATGGCAAAACCATTACGCTGGCCGTGGACTCCTAGTTTTCTTTCATCCTAGATGATTACAACAACAAAAGAAAACCGAAATAAAATCAAATTGAATGTGTGGTTGCGAATTCAGATAATTGCAATTAAAATGTTTGTGTTTAATGTGAGCTTCACGTTTAATTGATGCTGAATTGAATTGAATTTCAATGCATTAGTAGAGTTTTCGTTATATTTTGAACTGATGCGCGTTGGTCTGTTAATTGATTGTGCAACGCAAAGTACGCGTGCATTAGCGCGCGCGTGATTGTTTATTTGCTGAGGGCTTAATTCGTTTGCGCTGCGTTTTCTGTTCGACGCGCATTGTTTCGCGAATTATTTCAAAGCGCATATAAAATCGCGAATGATTTCTGTCCGTTTGAACGAACAGCGCCTACGATGCCACACGTTATTTATAAAACTTTCGGAACTCGGCCACACATTATTCCGTTTAAATACGTCTTCAGACTCAAACTCAGACTCAGCATTTCGCGTAACTGGGTTTTCCTTCAATTATACAGGATATTAAATATGTTAAAATGATTTTTAATTAAATTAAATATTTGTTTTGTAGGTACAAAGTTATGTAGAAGATTATTTTGTGTAATCTCGGTGTCGATGTCATCGCGTGCCGAAAAGTTGTAAAAGTAGTAAAAGTTTGCGGCGAGCGCGCGCCGCGACGGAGAGGTGAATGTCGTCCGGCCCGAAATAAACACACACGCGGGTCGGCGCGCGTCGCGACGCTCGCTCGCCGCCGCCGCCGGCCGCCGTTCGCCGGGCCTGCCTCAGTGCGCGCCATGACCGACGACTACGCGCATCTGAAGCGCGCCAAAGGGCGCTCGGCGTCGATCTGCGCGGCGAGCTCCGCGAGCATGGAGATGCTGCCGCCGACACCGGACTCGGCCGGCACGCCGGTGCAGCAACGCCGGCGGCGGCCTGCAGCCCGCTCCCAGAGCGCACGCATCGCCGGCGGGCGGTCAGTGCGGAAACGCGCCGCTGCAAACGCCGCCGCCGCGAACGCGAACAACGCGAACGTGAAGAACTGCAGCAGTGAGCCGAAGCTGGACCAGCAGACCGATGGGCATACACCGGATGTATCGCCAAATATTCGCAGGAAAGGATCCACGACTGCCTCACGAAGAGGCACATCTGTATACCATCGTAAATCTGCTGCATTCTTGGATGTCCCCGACAATCGCAGCTATTCGAATAGCAACAATGCCAACGATGAAGACGAGGATTCATATCGGCTTAGATCATTTAGCTTCAACTCCAAAGGCAAAGGTAATAACTTAATCAGAAACTTTTCAAATGATCCCGAATCACTTTAGTGGCTTTTTCGACAATACCTGTTGCTTTGTTGCGCGAGAAAATTGTCAGCGCCTATTATCGCGCACATCGCGCGCAGAACTTCGCATTTTAATACGATTACATTAATTTAATCGCGCTGTCTAAACGAGGATTCAATTAATCCACCTGAACTCACCTAACTGAACGTTCCTGCAACTGACAGCGAGTAGTTTAGTATGTTTTTTCATTCAAGTTTCAACTAAATCCGACAAACTCTGCAACAGTGCAACAGAATAAAATAAAAGTGTGAAACTTAATTCTGTTGACTTAGTCGATATTAAAATGAATCATTTTACGAATTATTATTATGAATACGAATGTAAACATTTCGAGCCACTATCCGGACGATATTTACAACACTAAACACATATGATATTCGCCAGGCGAGTTTAAGTATTAGTTATACAAATAGATGCACGAGTGGTCTATTTTTACGCGTGTAAATAACGCGGAATGAACAACGGTTAAACGCACACACACGCAGGATGAAAATTATTCGCGATATTAAACGCAGCGGTTAATTTTTGTGTGTGAATTTTGGCGCATTGGGATACTTTGTGAGTTTTAATCCAGAAAGCAATCGTAAGTTTGCAACATAACCTTACTCACTTAGCATAGTAACACATTTATACATTATTTATATGAGAGAGTATCTTATTTTCGACTATTTTGTACTATTTGTAACGGTTTCGGTGCTGCTAACTGCTGAATTTGCGCGCAGTCTAAATATTTTGCGCGCTCGGCCGTATTTATAGTAGAGTCAAAGATTATAATGAAAATATACGTTTTATTCGTGCGCGTGTTTTGCTCGAAATTTAAAATCAACATGCGAGGTATATACGAGACTATGAGAGGGATAGCATGCGAGGAAATTGTTAAAGACTGCAATTGAATGGAAAATTGCATCCGATGGGAAACAATAACGGAGGAACTTGTTGTGGGCCGTGTGTGGGAATTGGAAAATTTTATTTCAATTTAAAATAATTTATTTTGTTTTATTACTGTTTGCTATAAACTAATTTTTATTTCGTTTTGCTTAAAAAGTTTTTTTATATAAATTTTATTTAAAATTTCAAAAGATTTTTAGGTTAGAAATAATTTACAACGTTGCCGCGTTGACAACAGTGTTGTTGTTGTCACAACACGTTGCCACATTTATTTTTATTTCAATTTAACCTCAAATTTCATCAATATAACTGAAAAGATTCTAAAATATCTACAATCAAGTAAATCTTATAATTTTAATCAATTTCTTTTCTAAAAGTAAAATAATAAATTTAATTATTTCTGAAATTGATTATCATTGACACAGCAATATGGAATTATAAACCGTATGGTGGATTTTCGCTCCGGCGGTCGTTGTGTCCGCTGGGGTTTCTTGTGTACTGATGGCGACGGTCGAATGCGTTGATTGAATTGCAGCCGCCGTCGGCTTCCATCAATGCGCCATTATCTTTTCGTGTCACAATAGGGTCAATAGCCGTTTGGGGCACTAGACCACCGAAACCTGTGTGCTCGTCATCCTCAATTCATCTTCAGAATCGCCAACCTGAACCAAACCCAAAATAGTTTTATTTTCGCGTTGCGTTTACATCTCTTTCGGAGCGTCAAATTGTTTTGATGCTTGTATGTCATTTTGTGCATTAAGGAATTAAGGAGTTTCAATTTAATTACGAGTGTTGTGTGTTTTGAAGATACGCGAAGCACACTGTAGTGGAAATTGTGCGTATATATTAAACTTTGGCTACCTGCTAATTTTCAAAGTTTAGGTAGCTACGAGTAGCAGCCGCTTTTC